TCTAGTAGTAAGGCCAGGAGCCCCTAGTAGCTTCTTGGTACTAGTAGCATGGCCAGGAGCCCCTAGTAGCGTACTTGTTCCTAGTAGTAAGGCCAGGAGCCCCTAGTAGCGTACTTGTTCCTAGTAGTAAGGCCAGGAGCCCCTAGTAGCATTCTTGTTCCTAGTAGTATGGCCAGGAGCCCCTAGTAGCGTCCTTGCTCCTAGTAGTAAGGCCAGGAGCCCGTAGTAGCATTCCTGTTCCTAGTAGTATGGCCAGAAGCGTTCTTGTTCCTAGTAGTATGGCCAGGAGCCCCTAGTAGCGTCCTTGCTCCTAGTAGTAAAGCCAGGAGCCCCTAGTAGCATTCTTGTTCCTAGTAGTATGGCCAGGAGCCCCTAGTAGCGTCCTTGCTCCTAGTAGTAAGGCCAGGAGCCCCTAGTAGCATTCCTGTTCCTAGTAGTATGGCCAGGAGCCCCTAGTAGCGCTCTTGTTATTACTTTGCAAACCTCGTACTTGTTCAGTTTCGCTGTTCTCTTCGGGGTCGGCTGAATCAGAGCAGTTTGCAGGCTGACTTGGAGGCTGACAGCAACTGTGGTCTTTTCAGTCGACTTGCTTTGCCAATTTGTAGCTTTAGCATGCTTTAGCCTCATTGGGAGTAACTGTAAAATTTGTGGATTGTATGAGAATGTATGCATATGCACGATGTCGTATTTCATGATTGTTACAGTACATTTAATGTTTGTTCCATGCTGTAAGTGTCGTCTGAGTCCGACTCTGCTCTGTTGTGTTTTGCGATCTCCAGGACCAGGGCCTCTCGGCTTTTGCGGAGCTGGAGTGGGGTTGTGAGACGAGCACAGAAAGCACACAAGAACGTCCACGTCAAAGTTGATTCGCCTTGACGACGTCAAGTCGTTTGTGACTTGTGGACCCGTTGTGTTTCTTCGCAACTCCGCAGGAGAATTTGGACTTCAAGGTTCACAGAGGCACCGGTGAGCTATCAGCCGACTCTGTGCTGAGGAGATTCGCAAAGCGATGCAGTATGATGCATGACTGTGTGAGACAGACATGGCAGACCTCACAAGAAACAGACGAAAATGCTCGCAGGATTGGTGAGAGCGAGAGTGGCATTTGGTCCTTTGTGAATTTGGGTGCCGAGCAAAGCCAGGAACTCATGCCCTTGCCTAAGAGGAGTCCACTTGAGTGAACACCGACCGAATCCGCTTTGCTTTCAAGTTGTGAGGGATCAGAGTGAGCTTATTTCTATGGCCGCTGGCACCTCTGGTCTTGGCGCCAAGAGGTGTGGAAATGGGCAGCGAGCAGCACCAAAGAGCGAAAGAGGATGAAATAGAGACATGAGACATTTGAGAAATTCGATTGAGAGAACGTCTCTCAATGTCCCTTTTGGCCAGGTCCTACAGGTCAGTCACAGCGATCGTTGGATCGTCTGGTGGAAAGGTCGTGAACTCAGATCAAAAATGCCGTAAGAGCCGAGATCAGCGCCCCGAGGTCGCAGAATGGAGCAACCTGGCTTTGGCTGGAAGGAGTTTTATGGGTCCGGGACTAGAATGCTGTCTTTTAAAGAAACGTGGTTCACGTTGAAACCTTGACCTGTCGAGAGGTTTGTTCCGGAACGCTTCCGCCACCTCGCCTGGTCGCTTCAAGATCTATGCCTTGGAACCTGCACAGGCGGAAAACACATCGCACTCGGATGTGCTTGATCAATTCAAGAGGATACAGAGGAAGGATGGATCCAAATGCAACAACATTAGGAATTTAACCTTGGTTTCTATGCATAGAAAACCCACAGAGGTTGATGCACCAGCTTTTCAACAGGTGGATTTCCTTTTGCTCACAAGAAAGAAAAACATGTGTTTGGAAATGAAACGCCTGCTTAGATGTTTGAAGATCAAACCATGTCATAAGCCATTAGCAATGGTTTAACAAGTCAAGTCAGGGTCCTGTGGCCTCAATCTATGAAGAAGGTTTCCTCGTTGTGGCGTACAGTGTGCAAGTTTGTTTGCAAAATTATTCAACTTTAACTGTTCACTTGTTACATAGAGCATTTTGGCATTGCTTTGGTGTTTGCTTGTCGCGTTGTGTAGCTTTGGGTCAGTCGTCAGGTGAGCATCACCACCATGAGAACCTCCGAGGTCAAGGCGACGGTCGGGAAGGTGACGATGTGACAGCCAACACGGTCGAGTCGAACCGTGTTTTTGGTCCAAGTACACTGCCCGATCGAAGTGACGCTACGACGCTACGAAGGGGCTCCTGGCCTTACTACTAGGAGCAAGAGGACGCTACTAGTAACACAGGGCATCGCTATTAGTGACAAGAAGCTACTAGGGGCTCCTGGCCTTTAGTGAGAGCCTTTAGTCAGTCTGACAAAATTCGACACTTCAGCCCGAAGCAGTTTGGCTGCCTTGCGGAAAAGCAAACGGGAGCGGGTGGCTGCAATTCTTCAAAGCAATGAGACCTTCTTTCAAGCTTTACTCAAACTACATGTTGCCTTGGAACTTTTGCCCAGAACTTTTATGCGGGACCTTGCTTGGAACCTTCACACTTGCAAGGTGTAGTCGGAATCTGTGCTTACAACTGTTCAAACCTTTAGTCTTGCTCACTGAAGACCACTAGGAATGTTTACGCAGCGCTCCCAACCTTGGAATCGCACTCACAAGCTTCACAGAGCCATTTCCACAACCCGTGGAATCGTAACCCGTCGTAATCGGATTTGGGGGAGCCTTTCTGGGCTATTCCAAAACTAGCAGAGGTGAAGCTTTAAACAGTTGTATATAGCAATACGATTCAATAAATTGTTTGACAAGTCTCGCTTGCTTCATCTTGTTTCCAGTTAAAGTGGACAGATTCAGATTGGGCGGCGCAGAGTTTCACTGCAGGCTCAAGTCCTCGGTCGGAACGAGATCCAGCTGGGCACGCAGATATACTTGTAGGGCGGTGCTGTTCGTCAACTGTGCAATCGAGTACGTTAAGACGGTCAAGCTCTACCAGACGAGTGACAGAGAATTTCTGGGCTCATTATATAATATTGTATACCCATATTCACCCAACTCCCAAGGACCTTCGCGACTGAAGACAATGATGTCGTTCAGCTCTCAAGCACAGGCTTGCTGAGGGTGGTTTAGACGCTTGCCAAGACAAACAGAGTGATGGTCCCCTTGCCAGACATTCTGCAAATTCCCTTTAATCATGTTTAATTAGCATGTGCGACAAAACTACTCTGGACAGGACTAGATTCATGGATTCAAGGTGGATGCACCCCCTATGCATTTCCAACGAAACAAATCTCCAAAGTGTGTAGAGCTCAGACGAGCAAGGCACGTAGTTTAGAAGACCGTTGATGCAAAGCTGTTTCGGACGCACAGATGTCATCTTGTTTACCTTGTTTACCCCATTGCACATAACTTTCAGGCGACGTCATTGTGCAATCGATGGAAGAGTCTGCAGACTTCCTGCAGCTGGCACCTGTGGATGAGGTGAACGAGAGACGGGCTTCGAGGGGTTCGTTCCTAGATCCGAAAAGGCTGTCGGATTGGGTGTTTGTTTTGTATCCCGTATCCCCTTCGACCCTCAGAGCGTTCCGAAGGTGTCAGATTTGAGCAACTTCATGTTCATTCGAAATTACATGTTGTTTTTTTTGCTACAAGAGTTAATTACATGTGAGTGATTCCGTTAAAGCTCACCAGCTTTCCAGGGGCGCCTCGGCCATTTCGTACGCGCAAAAATCATTGGGTTGGCAATGGAGGGCGGGGTCAGCAAGCTAAGAGGACAGAGGAAAGAGCTCGAACACGAAAGCGAACCTAGTAGCTTCTTGTTACTAGTAGCTTCTTGCTCCTAGTAGTAAAGCCAGGAGACCCTAGTAGCGTCCTTGCTCCTAGCAGTAAGGCCAGGAGACCCTAGTAGCGTCCTTGCTTCTAGCAGCAAGGAGGCCATGAGCCCCTAGTAGCATCCTTGCTCCTAGTAGTAAGGCCAGGTAAGGCCAGGAGCCCCTAGTAGCATCCTTGCTCCTAGTAGTAAGGCCAGGAGCCCCTAGTAGTAAGGCCAGGAGCCCCTAGTAGCATCCTTGCTCCTAGTAGTAAGGCCAGGTAAGGCCAGGAGCCCCTAGTAGCGTCCTTGCTCCTAGTAGTAAGGCCAGGAGCCCCTAGTAGTAAGGCCAGGAGCCCCTAGTAGCGTCCTTGCTCCTAGTAGTAAGGCCAGGAGCCCCTAGTAGCGTCCTTGCTCCTAGTAGTCAGGCCAGGAGCCCCTAGTAGTAAGGCCAGGAGCCGCTAGCGAACCTTGTTACTAGGTGAGGTGTGAGTTGCAACGGACCTGAAAGCGGATGCGAAGCAAAGCCGAGACATGACGCATGCGCGAGCGAGACGTAACGAGTGGCGATGAGACGATGAGTCTGCCCTTGCGTGGGAGACGGCTTTAAGAACCGGTGCCCGAAAACATCCGATAACAAACAACCGTAAAACGGCAAACAACCGAAACAAACCCTGTCAAGGTCCTTGAAGCTTACGAAGCAAGAACCTGTGCTGGCCAACCTCTAGCTGCAGGGTTGAGAGTAATGACTCAGGCTCCTTGAAAAGGCTGTCAAACTACGTTTAAATATAACTTTCCGTATATCTTTGAATCACTGAAAGTCTCAAATTTGAACGAAGTGTAGAGCTTGGAGCGGGCCGCAACCGTCCATGGGCACCGGATTCCCGGTTTTGCTTCGCGCAAAATTTGGGCCGAAATGAGTTGGAACCAAGCATTCTTTTGGCTCATCTCAGATTGTTTAAGGCATTTTAGGAGAACGATTCGACTTAATAAAATGTCATGATTTTGAAAGTGTCTTTAGATAGTTTATGATATGATGTGTTTAAGAATTATATTGCTTCCCTGAGTGGATTGAAACAGTGAGCATGCAATTGACTCTTTGTATGATTTATGTCACTTTTGCCTGCAGGAGTTGCGTTGCCTCCACACAAATGCCTCAATGCACAATGTATGGGGAGCTGAAACAAACTAGAAGGAATGGCCTCCAAACTAATAGCAATGGCCTCCGCCCTACAATATAAGATCATTTTGACCGCTACAGTCGATAGATTCAGGGACAAGTCATTAGAGACTGCAAAATGTTTCTGAGTATTCATGGAGTTGGTTAATTTAATAGTGTTTGTTTGTTTGTTTGTTTTTAAGTAGATGTTCAAGCACTATTGACACTATTGACAACTAGCATTGCGCTGCACTGGTACTTGCTGGGCAATTGCCGATCACATCCGATCACCAATTAAACAATTGGTCGCAATTCGAACCACCGGGATCTACCGCGGCCGCCAAAGCAACCTGCTCAATCCTTCCAAAGCAGACGCACCTGAAAGCCAAGTGACAACTCTGAAAAGGACTCAAGAACTGAATAGATCCAACAATAGCGTGGAGGCTGGAGAAAGTAATGAGAGATACATGGCTCATGGAGGTACTGAAACCTGAAGCCTGAACACCATGCTGAAATGTAGCTCTCTTAGATCGTTGGAGGCCATCGCTGGTAGGTTGGAGGCCATCGCTATATCCCGCTCCTGTAGGCGCATTTTAGCGCCCGATACACCTTCGTATGCTGCCGCTGATTACCATAGCTTATGCTCGGGTGTAGCACGTGGTCCTGGCGTTCATCTCTTCTTCCTTGCTCTCAATCCTTGAGTTTTTCTTCGCTTTCAAGAGTTTCGCAGTGTCCAATCCAAACGCGCCACATTAAGGTGCTCCATCAATTCTTGCGCTGATTGAAGAGCATGTGGAAACATATCGTGAGCCAAAAGGGAAAACAGCAGGTCCAACATGTGCAACATTTGCTGTAGCAGGTCTTCATGTTGAATTATGGCCCGTCGAAATGGGACAGATGCAAGAGAGAAAGTTTCAGTCAACGCCTGTAAAGTCTACTTTGTATTCAGTCTACTCTGTATTGCATGTGGGGCTGCCTCTAGATAGCTTTCTTTCACCTCACTTGCCAGCAAATTGCTGAGATGTGTGTGTGTGTGTGTGTGTGTTTGTGTTGCACACTGCGCAAGGCCATCTACGGATATTGCCACGAGCTGTGTGCAATTATGGCCTTTGATCGTGAGGAGTGGCAAGTGAAACGCAGTTTTCTCATTTGCCCCATCCAACGCAGAAGCTCCCTTTCCAGTTTCGTCAGGCAAGCCTATTGACCGAAGAATGCGCAGATGGAAGTACGAGAAGCTATGATAAGAGCAGCATGATCGAAGAGACCTATTGGACTCTTGCCAGACTTCGGGGAATGGGAGGGAATGTGGAGGGATGGATCATTGATCCAGACTCGATGATCCGATTCTTCGAAGCACATCACTCTTCTGCTTGCAGAGCTGGTAGAATGGTTCTTGCACCAAGAAAGACTTTGAGTGCGCTGTGCTTGTGTTGGCTTTCAGGAGCGTCACGGTCGGCAAAGCGTGCCGCTGGCGCAGCTCAGATGGTCTTGCGCTTAAGATGTTATGAAACATCTCAGCAAGTGAAGTCCTAGAGGAACATGAATGTAATTTGTCCAAAAAAACATTACACCAACATAGACCCAGATAGCTAGGCAGAATCCCACGACCTGTTGACATGCGACTGGCTGACTGGCTGGAACAAGAATGCACGAAGCCTGCACAGCCAGCTTACGGCGCCTCCACAGCGCGCACAACCAGCTGACACCAGCACCGGTGCGCTTTGCCAGCTGACAACACCGGCAGCAGCACCAGCACCTGACCAGCGCCGCCGCCCGTGTTAAACGCTCAGCCAGCTCACAGCACCAGCACCCAGGACCACAACACCAGCACCACCACCGACACCCTTTCAAAAGCGCGCGCAGCCAGCTCATTCTTGTTTGCAGTAAGAGCCCCATAGCTATCCCTATTTAAGGGAATAACAACGCATGATCTTTGCGCATATAAGTTTATGCGCGCAAACAGCAAAGCCCGTAAGTGTCATTGGCCCAAGGCCAAGCAGTGTCCAGCGCCACTGTTGATTTTGTAGCATGCTTGAAGCAACGATCTGTAGAACGATAAGGCCGTATGATCTTGCGCGTACAAGTTTATGCGCGCAAAAGTATGCGCGCAAACGGCAAAGCCCGTAGGTTTCACTCGCCCAAGGCCAAGCAATATCCAGCACGACTATTGTGTGTGTGTGTAGCATGCTGAAACATGCTGAAACAATGGTCGGTTCAGAGCCTGACGTTGCGCGTAGAACATTATACGTACAAAAGTATGCGCGTAAACAGTACAGCCCTTGACACAGCTGTCGGCCAGAACACAACCTGAAGAAGGTAAATACCCCACAGCGCTAATAGACAAAAAACGCTCAAGCGACAACACCGTATAATGTTGCGTGCGTGCAGCCAGCTCACAGCACCAGCACCAGCAGCGGCACCCACCCAACACCGGCACCATGTCTCCACCACGCGCGCAGCCAGCTCACAGCACGCGCCCGGCACCCGGCACCACCAGCACCGGCGCCCTGCGCCCAGCACCAGCACCGGTGCCAGCAACCTGTCTCTACCACGTGCACAGCCAGCTCACAGCACCAGCACAGGCTCACAGCACCAGGAGTAGCACTGGCACCCGCGCCCAGCACCAGCACCGGCACCCGCCACCAGCACCATCAACCTGTCTCTACCACGCGCACAGCCAGCTCACAGCACCAGCACCGGCGCCCGGCGCCCAGCACCAGCAACCTGTCTCCACCACGTGCAACCAGCTCACAGCACCAGCGTGCACAGCCAGCTCACAGCACCAGCACCGGCACCCGGCACCAGCACCAGCAACCTGTCTCGAAAGCGAGGGCAACTCATTGTTGTTTGAAGTAAGAACCCCATAGCTTCGCTATCTGGGGAATTACATGTAGAAGATGCCTGACTGAAATGCATGTCGCACTGGTACAATGATGTACACACTTGCAGACACTTGCATGTGTTTTTCAGTCAAGACAAATTTTTACATGTTCACCAATTTCACCAAGGCTCTAAGATCGCTGGGACGTCCCGATCAGATGGACCAAACCGAGTCTCCATCTCCTTGTTGCCAGCGATCTATTTTCAGGAGAAAACTAAGTTTTCATCACTTGCACTTCTTCTTTTATATATACATACATACATACATACATACTGATGTTCATGACGCGCACTTTTTTGCCACACTGCCAATGTATTATTCTAGATGTAGAGTGCACCAGTCCAACTCACTCAGCACCTGCAAGGTCCTACAAGAAGTGCAACACTGGTCCTACAAATGGTTCAATCTCATCATTTCATCATCTATGTTTCACGTTGCTGTTTGCTATCTTCAGGAGACAACGCTCTTCCCTTTGGCCTTGCAATCTGTGAAGTTCATTGGCACAGAGCCAACCACTTGCCAGGCCACAGAAGTTTCATTTGCACGCGCTACCTTGTTGAGGGCTGTGAAAGCTCCAGCAAGGAAACCTTGAGTTGCTGTTGCGCTTAGCCATGTCGTTTGGTTTTGGATACGCTTGAAGATGGCAAAGAGACGAGGAGAGGGCCAGAAATAGCTGTTGAGAGACTCTAGCAATGAAAGCAAAGTCTTGCAACGCTAAGAATTGTTGATCCTGCAATGCTTTACACGATCAATCTAGCAAAATGCATATATTGATGGAGCTTACTGTTTAGCTTCGTATGTAACTATGTAACAAGTGCAACGCAAATGTGCAAATGCTTCCATGACACATTGGTCCTTGTTGCCCTGCTGCGCGCATCTTCGCAGCAAAGGTGGATGGCCACGAGTTCACTCTCTCAGGGAGCAACTCTGCAGCTTGGTTTTAGACACACCACCAACTAGGTACACGTTCTTCTTTGATGTTTTTCTTTTACTTTTAGCCTGCTCCTTCCCTCTCTACTTATATAATTAAGTAAGGGAGCATAAGGATAAAGTAGCTTGCTACTAGGCTGATTTAAGTTAGCTACTTCATACTGGGCGCAGGATAGCTCACGCTTCTTCAAGGAAGCTCCCCCCGCCTGAGGATGGGGGTAGCTTCCTTGAAGAAGCACTCGCACTAATGATTTGGTTCCTAGGTTTCTAGGGAAACATAATTAATAACAAGAAGCTACTAGGGGCTTCTGGCCTTACTACTAGGAGCACGGACGCTACTAGGGTCTCCTGGCCTTACTACTAGGAGCAAGGACGCTACTGGGGGCTTGTGGCCTTACTACTAGGAGCAAGGACGCTACTAGGGTCTCCTGGCCTTACTACTAGGAGCAAGGACGCTACTAGGGGCTTGTGGCCTTACTACTAGGAGCAAGGACGCTACTAGGGTCTCCTGGCCTTACTACTAGGAGCAAGGACGCTACTAGGGGCTTCTGGCCTTACTACTAGTAACAAGAAGCTACTAGGGGCTTCTGGCCATACTACTAGCAACAAGAAGCTACTAGGGGCTTCTGGCCTTACTACTAGGAGCAAGGACGCTAGTAGGAACAAGAAGCTACTGGGGGCTCCTGGCCTTACTACTAGGAGCAAGGCTACTAGGTGCTCCTGGCCATACTACTAGCAACAAGAAGCTACTAGGGGCTCCTGGCCATACTATTAGCAACAAGAAGCTACTAGGCGCTTCTGGCCTTACTGCTAGGAGCAAGGACGCTACTAGGAACAAGAAGCTACTGGGGGCTCCTGGCCTTACCACTGGGAGCAAGAACGCTACTAGGGGCTCCTGGCCATACTACTAGCAACAAGAAGCTACTAGGGGCCCCTGGCCATACTACTAGCAACAAGAAGCTACTAGGGGCTTCTGGCCTCACCACTAGGAGCAAGGACGCTACTAGGGGCTCCTGGCCTTACTACTAGGAGCAAGGACGCTACTAGGGGCTCCTGGCCTTACTAGTAGGAGTCAGTCCTGTAGGAGCAAGAACCCTACTAGGGGCTCCTGGCCATACTACTAGTAACAAGCAGCTACTAGGGGTTCCTGGCCTTACTACTAGGAGCAAGGACGCCACTAGGGGCTCCTGGCCATACTACTAGTAACAAGAAGCTACTAGGGGCTCCTGACC